TGGAGAAGCACGGTACTGGCCAGCTACATCATTTACCCACAATGCTGCAGTGATTTAAAGCTAAGCTGGCATTTTGGCATTTTCCAAATGTCATTTTGGTATTTTTAAAATGACCCCTAAAGATCAGCGTAACCTGTTCTCATGGCCAGTGGTTCTGTGCATGTGATGTTGGCGTGTCTGGGAAAGACTGTCAGAGCTGATTATGGTGTCCAGACTCTCCTGTTCTTCTGCTCTAAGGCAGATTTGAGGGTTCACTGATACTCATGTGAGCGATCAGATTAAACGCTAGTCAAACACACGCCGCTTCAGATCTGTAATCTGAGCCGTTAATGACTCCCCGCAGGAAGAAAACTGGGGTACACCTTCGACAACAAGAACTTCCACAACGTGTCTCTGGGCCAGGGTCAGGAGGTGGTGGCGGAGCAGGCTCTGGATACGGCAGCCCGAGAGGGACACTGGGTGATCCTGCAGGTGAACACACACTCACACACACTCACACACACACACACACACTCACACAGGACAGGTGTCTGTATAGCAGTGGGACGCTTCTGGATGCCCGTTACCTGAGCTGCATTATTGGTAACACTTTATAAAAAGGGTTCATTTGTTAAATTTAGTGAACTACATTAGTTAACATGAACTTATAATGAAAAGTAATTCTAAAGCCCTTATTTGTCTTGATTAATTTCAGCATTTACTAATACATGGAAAGATGTTATTGATTCGATTCAGATGAGAACAAAACTTGAACTGTATAATGACACTATTGTCTTTTAAACAGTTGTATTTTTATTAACTAATGTTAAAAAACATTAATAAATACTGTATCAAATGAATCGCTCATTAGTAGTTCATGTTAGTTAATGCACTAAGTGGGATCTTATAGTAAAGTGTGACCGCATCATTCCTTCAGTCGGCCGGACAGCACACAGAGGGCCAGATGAACGTACATTTGCAAACGCAGCGTTAATAGAGCCATGGCCAAGCAGAGAGCGCTTGCTGTGAAACCGCAGTGTGTGTGTTATGTACCAAACCTGCAGTTCATCAGGTAATCAGCGCCTGTAACACACACTATACTGTAGATTGCGCGCGTCAAGTACTTGTACTACCCACTGCTCAATTCCCACTGCTGATGCTGTGACTGTTTGAGATGATCCTGATGCCAATAAGTGTAGTGTAGCGAGGAGTTTAACAACGGCTGGAAGGGAATGTGAACGCCGAGTCGGAGATTCGATGTCATCTTTGATTTCTTCCAGTTACTGTAGTATTGCGGAGCTGCTTAATCTGTAACGCTTAATGATTTCGTTTTCACTCAACTGAAAAAGTGTGAATCTTGCGGCAAAACTCTTTCCAGCCTGTCTCCTTCGCCTATGTCTTCGTCTTGCTCGGATTACAGCTGCCTTTCACCAGGAGGTGTACGCCATAGACCCGCTTCCTAAGTTACTCCTGCTTTTAAGCGCAAAATAGAGGCGCTTTCACCGGCTTCTTCTGTACATCACGCGGAATACATAATTAGGCGCAGTTTACGCTTCCCCTCCATCTCTTTATGTGACACTCCCACTTTCCCCTTGACCATCCCATGAATGCATATGCATGACACGAAAAGCGCATTTTGCCATTTTCAGTTCCCGCGACAGTCTGCGCTTTCATCTCGGTGCGTCCCGTTCGTACACACCTCGCCATGGGTTTATGCGCACTTTGAGAAACAAATACGCCTGAAGTGGGCGCAAGAGCGTTAGTACATCTGGCCCAGAGTGTGTGTGAACGCTGAGTGTGTGTGTGAACGCTGTGTGTGTGTGTGTGAACGCTGAGAGTGTGTGTGAATGCTGAGAGTGTGTGTGTGAACGCTGTGTGTGTGTGTGTGAACGCTGAGAGTGTGTGTGAATGCTGAGAGTGTGTGTGAACGTTGTGAGTGTGTGTGTGAACGCTGAGAGTGTGTGTGTGTGAACGCTGAGAGTGTGTGTGAACGTTGTGTTTGTGTGTGAACGCTGAGAGTGTGTGTGTGTGAACGCTGAGAGTGTGTGTGAACGTTGTGAGTCTGTGTGAACGCTGAGAGTGTGTGTGTGTGAACGCTGAGAGTGTGTGTGAACGTTGTGAGTCTGTGTGAACGTTGTGGGTGTGTGTGTGAACGCTGAGAGTGTGTGTGTGTGAACGCTGAGAGTGTGTGTGAACGTTGTGAGTCTGTGTGAACGCTGTGAGTGTGTGTGAACGCTGAGAGTGTGTGTGTGAACGCTGAGAGTGTGTGTGTGTGTGAACGCTGAGAGTGTGTGTGTGTGTGTGAACGCTGTGAGTGTGTGTGAACGCTGAGAGTGTGTGTGTGTGTGAACGCTGTGAGTGTGTGTGAACGCTGAGAGTGTGTGTGAACGCTGAGAGTGTGTGTGTGTGTGAACGCTGAGAGTGTGTGTGTGTGTGAACGCTGAGAGTGTGTGTGTGTGTGAACGCTGTGAGTGTGTGTGAACGCTGAGAGAGTGTGTGTGTGTGTGAACGCTGTGAGTGTGTGTGAACGCTGAGAGTGTGTGTGTGTGAACGCTGTGAGTGTGTGTGAACGCTGAGAGTGTGTGTGTGTGTGAACGCTGAGAGTGTGTGTGTGTGAACGCTGTGAGTGTGTGTGTGTGTGTGTGTGAACGCTGAGAGTGTGTGTGAACGCTGAGAGTGTGTGTGTGTGTGAACGCTGTGAGTGTGTGTGAACGCTGAGAGTGTGTGTGTGAACGCTGAGAGTGTGTGTGTGTGTGAACGCTGAGAGTGTGTGTGTGTGTGAACGCTGTGAGTGTGTGTGAACGCTGAGAGTGTGTGTGTGTGTGAACGCTGTGAGTGTGTGTGAACGCTGAGAGTGTGTGTGTGAACGCTGAGAGTGTGTGTGTGTGTGAACGCTGAGAGTGTGTGTGTGAACGCTGAGAGTGTGTGTGAGTGTGTGTGAACGTTGTGAGTGTGTGTGTGAACGCTGAGAGTGTGTGTGTGTGTGAACGCTGTGAGTGTGTGTGAACGCTGAGAGTGTGTGTGTGTGTGTGTGAACGCTGTGAGTGTGTGAACGCTGAGAGTGTGTGTGTGTGTGTGAACGCTGAGAGTGTGTGTGTGTGAACGCTGAGAGTGTGTGTGAGTGTGTGTGAACGCTGAGAGTGTGTGTGTGTGAACGCTGAGAGTGTGTGTGTGTGAACGCTGAGAGTGTGTGTGAGTGTGTGTGAACGTTGTGAGTGTGTGTGTGAACGCTGAGAGTGTGTGTGTGTGAACGTTGTGAGTCTGTGTGAACGCTGTGAGTGTGTGTGAACGCTGAGAGTGTGTGTGTGAACGCTGAGAGTGTGTGTGTGTGTGAACGCTGAGAGTGTGTGTGTGTGTGAACGCTGTGAGTGTGTGTGAACGCTGAGAGTGTGTGTGTGTGTGTGTGAACGCTGTGAGTGTGTGAACGCTGAGAGTGTGTGTGTGTGTGTGAACGCTGAGAGTGTGTGTGTGTGTGAACGCTGAGAGTGTGTGTGTGTGTGAACGCTGAGAGTGTGTGTGTGTGTGTGTGAACGCTGAGAGTGTGTGTGGCATGACTGTAGTGTGTGTCGGGTGAGGGATGAGGCCTGTACTTTAGCGCAGTAAATGTCTGTGTCTCTTCGCTCTCACTCTCGGCTGATTAATGGCCGGTTGTTCTGCCGTCCGGACGCCACACTCCACTAATGAGTCCATTACACACATGAGTCTGGCCGTCCTCCAGCAGACACACACATGCACACACTGCCCATATAGATAAAACAGTGATCAATATCAAGAAAACTGTTCTGATGTGGACGACTCTCCCGAGAAAATGCTGCATCATTCAACCCAATCTCAACAGAAAGCCTTCCACTCTCGCACAGAATCACAATGCCTTTCATTGAGCGGTTGAAGCGGCAGAACGTGGTCCTCTGTACCTGAGAGCCTCGCTGTGCTGGCAGGAGCGGCCGAGATTCTCAATCGATGGCCCCACAGATCCCCATCTCGCCCACAGCCTCCACCAGGCCCGATCTCCTGCCTCCGCGAGTCCCTCCAGTGAAGGGGGATTATATTGCAGCTCACGGACCCGTCCGGCAGACATGCAGAAATCCACTCACTGTAGAGAGGCAATCACTGGCTAATCCTGAGCAGAAACCCCGGCTCCAGCTGGCCAGAGTCCCCTGCTCTCACACACACACACACACACACTGAGCACAGGCGAGGGGAGCGCGCTGAAGGCGTCGGGGACACTGTGGCTTGGAGAGCGGCTGCCAGGATAGAGTTTAACGTTAATGGCTTCTCTGGAAGGAATATGCTGCATTCAGCCTTCTAACACCTCAGCCGGCCGCATTATCAAGCGTGACCGGCAGGGTCGGCTGGAAAGTGGTTTCCCTTGAAGCCCAGTTACAATGTGCATATTGTGTGTTAGAATAAACCTCTTGAAATAATGAAATAATAATTCAGTTTGACGTACGGCGAGGAGCGAGTGCATCGGTTGTGCAACACCTTTCAGTAGTAATGATAGTATGACAGTACAATTAAAATGGATGTCAGAAAGAATTAGTGTTGGTGTGTCCTCAGTTAGTCGACGATTTTACAGGGTTTTAATATGAAGTCGCCTCCTGAAGACAGCAGAAACCGCACGCAGTTCTCTTAGGACACTGCGGTTTCACATTCGGCTGTTCCTGCGAAAGCTGCACGTCTCAGTCTTCTGATGCGGGAGATCACTAACACCTCACCTGGGGAAGTAACAACTGCAGAGTGTTAGCAGAGAGAGAGAGAGAGAGAGAGTGCTGCACACACACACACACACACACCACTCAAAGTACATACACTTTTCTTTTTTTCTGTTTTTCTATATTTATTCATCACACAATGTTTTCTACTTTGTTCATTTTAATTTTTTCCTGCTCATAAATGCTTTGGCAATACAATGTGTGTCATGTGTCATGTGTCATGTGTCATGTGTCAGTGTCATGTGTCAGTGTCATGTGTCATGTGTCATGTGTCATGTGTCATGTGTCATGTGTCATGTGTCATGTGTCATGCGTCAGTGTCATGTGTCATGTGTCATGTGTCATGTGTCATGTGTCATGCGTCAGTGTCATGTGTCAGTGTCATGTGTCATGTGTCATGTGTCATGTGTCAGTGTCATGTGTCATGTGTCAGTGTCATGTGTCAGTGTCATGTGTGTGTCATGTGTCATGTGTCATGTGTCATGTGTCAGTGTCATGTGTCAGTGTCATGTGTCAGTGTCATGTGTCAGTGTCATGTGTCAGTGTCATGTGTCATGTGTCATGTGTCATGTGTCATGCGTCTTGTGTCTGTGTCATGTGTCTGTGTCATGTGTCAGTGTCAGTGTCATGTGTCAGTGTCATGTGTCATGTGTCATGTGTCAGTGTCATGTGTCATGTGTCAGTGTCATGTGTCAGTGTCATGTGTCATGTGTCATGTGTCATGTGTCAGTGTCATGTGTCATGTGTCATGTGTCATGTGTCATGTGTCATGTGTCAGTGTCATGTGTCATGTGTCAGTGTCATGTGTCATGTGTCTGTGTCATGTGTCAGTGTCATGTGTCTGTGTCATGTGTCAGTGTCATGTGTCAGTGTCATGTGTCATGTGTCAGTGTCATGTGTCATGTGTCATGTGTCTGTGTCATGTGTCATGTGTCTGTGTCATGTGTCAGTGTCATGTGTCATGTGTCATGTGTCTGTGTCATGTGTCTGTGTCATGTGTCATGTGTCATGTGTCTGTGTCATGTGTCTGTGTCATGTGTCAGTGTCATGTGTCTGTGTCATGTGTCAGTGTCATGTGTCATGTGTCATGTGTCATGTGTCAGTGTCATGTGTCATGTGTCATGTGTCTGTGTCATGTGTCTGTGTCATGTGTCAGTGTCATGTGTCATGTGTCAGTGTCATGTGTCATGTGTCAGTGTCATGTGTCTGTGTCAGTGTCATGTGTCATGTGTCAGTGTCATGTGTCATGTGTCATGTGTCTGTGTCAGTGTCATGTGTCATGTGTCAGTGTCATGTGTCATGTGTCAGTGTCATGTGTCTGTGTCAGTGTCATGTGTCATGTGTCAGTGTCATGTGTCAGTGTCATGTGTCTGTGTCAGTGTCATGTGTCATGTGTCAGTGTCATGTGTCATGTGTCAGTGTCATGTGTCATGTGTCAGTGTCATGTGTCAGTGTCATGTGTCTGTGTCATGTGTCATGTCAATAAAGCTCATTTGAATTTGAACTTGAGGGAGAGAGAGAGAAAAGAAAGGCTTAATGTCTGATGTGGTCTATGCTCATCCTTGGTACATTCAAGTCATTACAAACCAATTGCAATATTGACATCATTTAGAGTTTTTTTCTTTCTTTTAAACCCTTAGTGGTTTAGCAGTGTCAGTTGATTCTGCAGTGTTATATTCTGCAGATAATGGCATGGAGGAGGTTCTGCATTATCAGTTATTTTCATCTACCAGAATTTCCCCTTTTATTGTTACATTTTTAATACAATGAGAAACATTGCATTTTAGAGCGTTAGACAGTACAAAAGACAATATTCAATTTGCATGTATTTGTATATTTCACAACACACATCGTTTAAAAGCAGCTTTACAGAAAGTGCACGAGTCCACATTACAGTTTACAGTGACCTGTCATCAGAGGAGACTGACTGAGTTATGCATTTCAGAAATCAGTTAGCTAAAAATGTATTCATTTTAATAATGTAATAATTTAAGGCAGAAACAATGAGCTCATTGAAGTAATGAATACATGTTTATTAACAAAGGATTATGACATTTAGACAAATGCAGCATTGGTGTGTGATGATTCAGAGTTTGCCCTAGCTGAAGACACACTTGTGTAGAAGATTGGAGAAGGATTTTTACATTCTATAATCACTGGAGGATTGGCTGGTTGTGTGTAAATGTTGCTGTTGAACGTGTGTGTGTGTGTGTGTGCTGTAGAATATCCACCTGGTGTCGAAGTGGCTGGGCGCGCTGGAGAAGAAGCTGGAGCAGCACGCGGAGGGCAGTCACCCGAGCTTCCGGGTGTTCGTCAGCGCCGAGCCGTCCTCCACGCCCGAGGGCCACATCATTCCTCAGGGCATCCTGGAGAACTCCATCAAGATCACCAACGAGCCGCCCATGGGCATGCATGCCAACCTGCACAAAGCCCTGGACAACTTCAACCAGGTACGGGGACCTCTGACCAGCACATGCTTCTGGCAGACAATCACACACAGTCACACACCAACACAAGTATGCTGTGCAATATTTGCCCAAAAAACCCTCAAATTTAAACTGTTTGTAATCCTCCTGACACACACCTTCTCCTGACACACACCTTCTCCTGACACACACCTTCTCTTGACACACACCTTCTCCTGACACACACCTTCTCCTGACACACACCTTCTCCTGACACACACCTTCTCCTGACACACACCTTCTCCTGACACACATCTTCTCTTGACACACACCTTCTCCTGACACACACCTTCTCCTGACACACACCTTCTCCTGACACACACCTTCTCCTGACACACACCTTCTCCTGACACACACCTTCTCCTGACACACATCTTCTCTTGACACACACCTTCTCCTGACACACACCTTCTCCTGACACACACCTTCTCCTGACACACACCTTCTCTTGACACACACCTTCTCCTGACACACACCTTCTCTTGACACACACCTTCTCCTGACACACACCTTCTCTTGACACACACCTTCTCCTGACACACACCTTCTCCTGACACACACCTTCTCCTGACACACACCTTCTCCTGACACACACCTTCTCCTGACACACACCTTCTCCTGACACACACCTTCTCCTGACACACACCTTCTCCTGACACACACCTTCTCCTGACACACACCTTCTCCTGACACACACCTTCTCCTGACACACACCTTCTCCTGACACACATCTTTGTGCTGTTTTCTCCTGACACACACCTTCTCCTGACACACACCTTCTCCTGACACACATCTTTGTGCTGTTTTCTCCTGACACACACCTTCTCCTGACACACACCTTTGTGCTGTGTTCTCCTGACACACACCTTCTCCTGACACACACCTTCTCCTGACACACATCTTTGTGCTGTTTTCTCCTGACACACACCTTCTCCTGACACACACCTTTGTGCTGTGTTCTCCTGACACACACCTTCTCCTGACACACACCTTCTCCTGACACACACCTTCTCCTGACACACACCTTCTCTTGACACACACCTTCTCCTGACACACACCTTCTCCTGACACACATCTTCTCTTGACACACACCTTCTCCTGACACACACCTTCTCCTGACACACACCTTCTCCTGACACACACCTTCTCCTGACACACACCTTCTCCTGACACACACCTTCTCCTGACACACATCTTTGTGCTGTTTTCTCCTGACACACACCTTCTCCTGACACACATCTTTGTGCTGTTTTCTCCTGACACACACCTTCTCCTGACACACATCTTTGTGCTGTTTTCTCCTGACACACACCTTCTCCTGACACACATCTTTGTGCTGTTTTCTCCTGACACACACCTTCTCCTGACACACATCTTCTTCTGACACACACCTTCTCCTGACACACACCTTTTCCTGACACACACCTTCTCTTGACACACACCTTCTCCTGACACACACCTTCTCCTGACACACACCTTCTCCTGACACACATCTTCTCTTGACACACACCTTCTCTTGACACACACCTTCTCCTGACACACACCTTCTCCTGACACACACCTTCTCCTGACACACACCTTCTCCTGACACACACCTTCTCCTGACACACATCTTCTCCTGACACACACCTTCTCCTGACACACATCTTCTCCTGACACACACCTTCTCCTGACACACACCTTCTCCTGACACACACCTTCTCCTGACACACATCTTCTCCTGACACACATCTTCTCCTGACACACACCTTCTCCTGACACACACCTTCTCCTGACACACACCTTCTCCTGACACACACCTTCTCCTGACACACACCTTCTCCTGACACACACCTTCTCCTGACACACACCTTCTCCTGACACACACCTTCTCCTGACACACACCTTCTCCTGACACACATCTTTGTGCTGTTTTCTCCTGACACACACCTTCTCCTGACACACATCTTTGTGCTGTTTTCTCCTGACACACACCTTTTCCTGACACACACCTTCTCCTGACACACACCTTCTCCTGACACACACCTTCTCCTGACACACATCTTCTCCTGACACACATCTTCTCTTGACACACACCTTCTCCTGACACACACCTTCTCCTGACACACACCTTCTCCTGACACACACCTTCTCCTGACACACACCTTCTCCTGACACACATCTTCTCTTGACACACACCTTCTCCTGACACACACCTTCTCCTGACACACACCTTCTCCTGACACACACCTTCTCCTGACACACACCTTCTCCTGACACACACCTTCTCCTGACACACATCTTCTCTTGACACACACCTTCTCCTGACACACACCTTCTCCTGACACACACCTTCTCCTGACACACATTTTCTCTTGACACACACCTTCTCCTGACACACACCTTCTCCTGACACACACCTTCTCCTGACACACATCTTCTCCTGACACACACCTTCTCCTGACACACACCTTCTCCTGACACACACCTTCTCCTGACACACACCTTCTCCTGACACACACCTTCTCCTGACACACACCTTCTCCTGACACACATCTTCTCTTGACACACACCTTCTCCTGACACACACCTTCTCCTGACACACACCTTCTCCTGACACACACCTTCTCCTGACACACACCTTCTCCTGACACACACCTTCTCCTGACACACACCTTCTCCTGACACACACCTTCTCCTGACACACACCTTCTCCTGACACACACCTTCTCCTGACACACACCTTCTCCTGACACACACCTTCTCCTGACACACACCTTCTCCTGACACACACCTTCTCCTGACACACACCTTCTCCTGACACACACCTTCTCCTGACACACACCTTCTCCTGACACACACCTTCTCCTGACACACACCTTCTCCTGACACACACCTTTGTGCTGTTTTCTCCTGACACACATCTTTGTGCTGTTGTCAAGCTATGATCTACAGCACACAAAAACTGTTCTGGCATATTATATAGTTTTAATAGTATATAAAATAGGAGTAAAACTCTTTAGTATGTGAGTCACTTTTGAGTTTAACAGTGTCAACAGTTTAGAAAACAATCAATATCCTTTAAAACATGCCACGTCTTAAAAATGTACTCTTTATATTCATATTAGCTTGAATTGTTTTTGGGAAAAAATCTGGGAAAAAGTGTTTTCAATATTATGATCCATTAATTCATAAATATCATTGTTTTTGGTGACAGTCACAGTCAGATCAGCCTGATGTTTTTGACTTCATGCCATCCAATAAATATATACAAAAATAAAAATGAATCTCAATATGTCCTTCAAAGAAGAGGTGTTTAAGTCACTGTATGTGTACATTGCATTTCTAATGCATTTCTGAATAGTAGCGTGTAATTCCCCGTGTGGTGTTCTCTGAGGACGTGCTGATCCAGCATCTGCCCGATGGGCGAGGGCATCAGTTCTGCGGGTGTTCTGGGGGCAGGGTCTCTCTGCAGAACGAGGCACATGCTAGTCTCGTACACGCCTCGAGAGCAAATCAATGACACAGAAGAGGCCTGAACCGCTCTAACTCTAGTAAGCAGCAGTAATCCAGAACATGACAAATACTTTCATATTGCCCTTTTCAGCTGTCCGAGCAAGTGCTTCGTGTTGATTTTTAACTCCTGCTGATTGGTTTGATTGTGATGAGCAGTGACACATCGCTGTGGAGATCATACAGCGGTGGAAGCTCATAGATGTGTGCTGGCGCTGGGGCGAGAGCTGAATGCTAATGCTGGATCAGGGCTTTAACTGCTCCTCTATTATTAAAGCTGCACCAGCACAAACTACTGCATCCGGCCTGTGTGTGTGTGTGTGTGTGTGTGTGTGTGTGTGTGTGTGTGTGTGTGTGTGTGTGTGTGTGTGTGTTTGTTTCCATACTTGGCCTTTAAATGTCACTCACTTAAAAATAAGCAGAGGATATTTGTTTAATGACGTTATTGGATTTCTTATATCTCTTGAGTTGCACCTCAATCTCTGACTGTAAAGCAAATGTACTGAACCAAACTTTTTTATTTTATACAAAATATATATTTTACAAAATAATTTGGTCTCTAAAATTGCTAGAAAGTCAAAGCCGTATGTCTAACCAAGGTGTGTCTAAATTTGAAGTTGATATAAAAAAAAATCACTAAAAGCTTTTAAAGTATCATTTTTTATAGTAAAAGCAATGTCTGATTTCAAAACGCTTTTTAAGTGTTTAAGCTTTTGAATGATACCCTAAATACCTAAAAAAATCAATAAAATAAGCATGCGGAGTGTCCAGCGGCACCAGATCGACCGGCTGTATACGGCCTCCCAGAAGCGCAGGATATTTGTTTAATGACGTTATTGGTTTGCTTGTACAAACAAACGAATCCCATGAAGAGCAGAAGCTCACACACACACACACACACACACACACACACACACACACACACACTCACACTCACACTCACACTCACACACACACACTCACACACACACACACACACACTCACACACACACACACACACACACACACACACACACACACACACTCACACACACACACACACACACACATGTTGTGTTTTCATGTTTTATGGGGACTTTCCATAGACATAATGATTTTTATACTGTACAGACTGTATATTCTATTCCCTTACACTAACCCTATCCCTAAACCTACCCATCACAGGAAACATTCTGCATTTTTACATTTTCAAACAACATCACTTAGTATGATTTATAAGCTGATTTCCTCATGGGGACCAAAAAATGTCCTCACACGAACAAGGATTTCGGATATTGCCATCCATGTGGGGACATTTTGTCCCCATAACGTAGGGTTTACCAGGCCACACTCACACTCACACTCACACACATACACACACTCACACTCATACTCACACTCACTGAAGGGCTTTGAAATGATGAAAGCTCTGACAAGCAGCGACAATTACAAAGCAGTCTCAGTTCCTAAATATATTGGAACGGAGCCGATCTTTGGTCTGTCCTGATGGCTGATGTCCACTGGGACCCTGACAGGGGAACAGCAGCACAGGTTTCTCTGTCGTGTCGGATGTGGTTGTAGAAAGTGAAGTGTGTTGTGATTGATGTGTTCTGATCGATGTGTGTTGATTGACAGGACACGCTGGAGCTGTGTGCGCGTGAGCTCGAGTTTAAGAGCATCTTGTTCGCCCTGTGCTACTTCCACGCCGTAGTGGCGGAGCGACGGAAGTTCGGCCCTCAGGGGTGGAACAGGAGTTACCCGTTCAACACCGGCGACCTGACCATCTCCGTCAACGTGCTCTACAACTACCTGGAGGCCAACAGCAAGGTGAGAGTGTGTGTGTGTGTGTGTTATAAGACATATGCTCCTCTAAAAGAGACGGACTGTGGGTCTGACCGTGTTTAATTACTCACACACCTACACAACAACCTGCTCCCAATTTAATATTTATGTCCGTTCATTACACAGAGCAATAAAGAACCAGTGTTGCTTTCATGGCAGAAACCCGACACAGAAGAGCATGGACTCAGACTAGATTTGCATTTCCTGAAGGAAATACCAGGAGGATAGTGGGAAAGTGTCGGATAGCTTTGCTTCAGCGTAAATGAAATGATAAAATGTTAAAGCCATTGTCATGTTTCAGTTTGACTCGAGCGATGTGAATCAGCTATAAATGGTTAAACATACAGTATAAAGGCAACACCAATCACAGTTAGAGAAGGAAGACCAGCTTGAATATTGAACATCTATTGGTTTAAAGGGATAGTTCACCCAAAATTTGGCATAATTTCCTCATTTACTCGAAATTCATCCAAAATGGACAATTAAACACAATGAAAGTAGCCAATATGACTTGTGCACGGTTCCACAGCAGAGAATTATCAGTGAACAATGACTTACATTTCTGTCTGGATTCAGAAGACTCCCGTAGGTTTTGTTTAGGAGCTTAAAAGTATAAATCAAATAAATAAATCGCCGAGTCGCGTTCAGTCGGTGTTTAAAAGCTGCTGCAGTCCGTTGGAAACAGTGTAAGTGTGTTGAGCCAGTCTCAGAATGTTTCAGCTAGTCGCTAAGTGTGTCCCCGCATTAGCGAAGGAGTCTGGGCACGAGAATAAAAGCGAAAGTAATGAAAGCCAGCAAAGAAGTCAAGATAGTACAGACAGAAGGCTGTTATAATTTTACGTCATCTTACCTGAGCATTCAAACGCAAGAATATTTTCATAATATCACGAGGCGACGGAGATGAAGAAAGTCATCAGCGTGATTGATATTCAAAATGATAAGCAAGCGCTGCTTTGTGTACGGTCTGTGTATCTGCAGCTCTCAGTGTAACGGAGCTGACAGCTGTAGGAAACGGATTAGTCTCATATACCTCTAATGCACTCTAGGGAGCAACACTGAATGTTAGTTGGGAGTTAATCATGGGTTGTAAGTGCTGCGGTGTGGTGGTTCAGGCCTGCTGGTCAGACGGTTGCAGGTCCTCTCTCTCTCTCTCTCTCTCTCACACACACTCTCTCTTCCTCCAGGTGCCCTTCGATGACCTGCGCTACCTCTTCGGGGAGATCATGTACGGGGGTCACATCACTGATGACTGGGACCGCAGGCTCTGCAGGACATACCTGGAGGAGTTTATCAAGCCCGAGATGATGGACGGGGAGCTGTACCTCGCACACGGCTTCCGTCTGCCGGGGAACAACGACTACAACGGCTATCATCAGGTACAACAGAGAACCACTGCTCAGGCCTGCGTAATCATATCTGATTACAGTGATGAGGACGACTGCAGATCATCTGCTGGATGTAAAGCCAGTCCCGGTTCACTAGGTCAGGGGTCAGACTGGGGTGTGTGGAAAATAAAAGAACAAATTCGGTTTTTTAGGGCTTAAAATTTGACATTTTCATGATTCATTTTGACTTTAGTACAGTGCCAATATTAAAGCTAACTATTTAGTATTGGAAACAACATTTTGCCATTATATTACACTTAATATTTTTCTCAGACTTTATCAAATATCTGTGAAACCCCTGAACTAGGTGAACTAGATATGCTGTAGACGCCCTGGTTACAAAACGATGCTCAAAAGGGAACGTCTCGGGTTACGACTGTAAGGGTACAACCCTAACCCTTGTTCCCTGTCGATGACGACACTATGGGGAACGCCTCTTGTCGTAACGCGTCTGAAGTACGATTGAAGCTAATCTAATCCTATTGACGTTGCGTGATGACGTAGCGTGTGACGGCATATAGGGAAGCTACAGCGGGACGGCGGCACACCACAGCGTTAGCTTGCGCTCTGAAGCAAGCACTCCCAGGCAGAAGGAGGCGTGGCGAAGGGACGCAGTGTCACGCAGTGAGCCCTCACGGCCAGAGGTGAACTCCACACCTGATAGGCCATAGAGATAGCCTGAACTATCCAGTTGATGGCCTGTTTAGAGGTGGGGTGACCCAAAACACAACAGCAACTGCTCCGCTTTCCTCCACTGAGAAGACCTCTGAACATAGATGTTTAGTGCTCTGACAGGGCAGAGTAAATGAAAGACCACCTTAAGTGACAGGTTCTTGGCCTCAGCCGACTCCAGAGGTTCGAAGGGGGCCTCGACCAGCCCTTCGAGAACCACTGCCAGGTCCCATGTGGGAACTCTGGTACGAGCCGCAGGTCTCATCCTCCGAGCCCCACGGAAGAAACGCACGACCAGCGGATGTCTCCCCAGGGGCCGATCACCCAGAGGAGCGTGGAAAGCCGTAATGGCAGCCACGTACACCTTGAGTGTGGACAGGGTAAGACCAGCCGAGAAGCGATCTTGGAGGAACTCCAGCACTGAAGCCACCGGGCCGTTAACTGGGTCCACGCCACGCTCTCTACACCAAAAGGTGAAAACATTCCTTTTTAGGCCATACAATTTCCTTCTGGAGGGAGCTCTAGAGCTGAGGATGGTCTCGACTACTCCTCAGGCAAAACCGCTTGGTTTTCAACCACCCCTGCAGGGCCCTCATGTGCAGCAGGCCGAAAGGTATCACGTTGGACGCTGCTGCCATGAGCCCTAACACTCTTTTTTGAAAATGTTTTACAGTGATGGCTTGGCCTAGCTTTACCCTGGTCACCGTGGCCATGGACTCGATCCGTGCAGGAGACAATAGTGCCCGCATCGTAACCGAGTCCCTCACCACCCCCAGGAACGTAGTTCTCTGGGCAGGGGCCAACACACTTTCCTTTGTGTTGAGTCTCAACCCCAAGCTCTGGATTTGGGCAAGGACGACATCTCGGTGCCGAACTGCCAGCTCCTGCGACTGGGCCAGAATAAGCCAGTCGTCGATGTGATTTAGCACCCGGATGCCCTGATGCCTCAGCGGAGCTAGAGCTGCATCCATGCATTTGGTAAACGTGCGAGGGGAGAGAGCTAGGCCGAACGGAAGAACCCGATATTGGTCCACTTCGCCCCCGAAAGCGAACCTCAGGAACCTCCTGTGAGATGGAAGGATCACATAAGTTAAGACCTCTTTCCCGTTGCCATCCTGGCCTGAAGGACGGTCTTCTCAGGAGGCTGTGGGTGAGAGCGCCGCCCAGAGTCCCAAGCTCTCTGAAGGGGACCTCTAGAAGCGACACTCTCCTTTTGTCCCTGCCGGTATGAGGAACTCGATGGCGGCCGAGGCTGACCCCTGGCGGCAGCCTTTTTGGACCTTGAACGGCGAGGGAGATGCTGCCTGAATGCTGCGTGTTTTTTCGTCTTCTGGAACCGAACCTGTCGACGACAGCATTAACGGCCTTGTCCTTCTCCCTACCGTTCTCTTAACCCCCATGCTGCTGTAATCCAACACTGGGGGATTAGACAGGCGCAATGAAAATGGCCTTTTCCTTGACTTACACAACTCATTGTGTAAGTCTGGAAAGAACGGCAAACCCCGGCGTGAAGGCTGTGAACGATGCTGCAGAAAGCGCTCATCAAGCTTGCTTCTAGCCTGCGCTTCCTGCCTCTCTTGTGGACAACTGATGTTTAATTTGGCCACTGCACGCGTTACAACCTCCACGGGCTCCTCATACACGGGTGCAGAGTGAAAAGGGATTCATCCAGATCCCCCTCCGCGATCCTGAGCACGTCTATATCAGAATCAGACAGCTGCAGCACCGGGCTCTCAACCCGAGTTAAAGAAACAGCGGGGTGGGCTTCAGCACCAGGAGTTAAGGGATCAGATGAGGACCGAGAAAGTGCCGAAGCAGTCTCGATCCCCTCTGCTAGCTCTCCCTGCGAGCCCCACGATCTGATCGGACCCGAACCGCGGGGAGCGCGAGCCGGCTTCATCAAATATAGCCAGGCGGGAGCAGTACACGCACATCTCATGTGTGTCCCCACCCGTGATAAAGCGAGGGCAGGGATGCACACACTTCTTAAACTGCTCACTTGCCCATTTCGATATATTATATATTTCACAGACAACACTAAATAGACAGATACACAACAGAGAGCGCTTGCTGAAGAGCGCAAGCTAACGCTGTGGTGTGCCGGCGTCCCTTTGTAGCTTCCCTGAATGCCGTCACACGCTACGTCATCACGCAACGCCAATAGGATTGGATTAGTTTCATTCATACTTCAGACGCGTTACGCCAAGAGGCGTTCCCCATAGTGTTCCCTCGAGAGGGAACCTGACATGCTTTAACCAGCTAGGCAGTGATCATCAGCTTCACTGTATGATAATAACTCCTGTTCTGTTCCAAAAGCCTTGCGAGTTTGGAGCTACATGATGGTGAGTACCGAGTGATGTCAGAGTCAGCTGATTAAAGGAGGATTATCTGTGGAAGTGTGACTCGACTGGACTGATCCTATTTAGACTGAATGCATGAATTCTACCACAGCGTTTTAGAGTTTTTAGAGCACATTCCTCTCTTCATGCATCTTCTGCATGTGTCTAAAGCCCAGCTCATTAATTAAGACTCATTTCTGTCTGATGCATTCAGATCTCTGGGATTCAGGTCTCTGGGATTCAGGTCTCTGGGATTCAGGTCTCTGGGATTCAGGTCTCTGGGATTCAGATCTCTGGGATTCAGGTCTCTGGGATTCAGATCTCTGGGATTCAGGTCTCTGGAATTCAGGTCTCTGGGATTCAGATCTCTGGGATTCAGGTCTCTGGGATGCTGGTCATGCATGGGGAATATTTCGGCTCTCACGCCAGATACCTGCATGCTAGATTTCATCATTAGGGTGTTGTGTTTGTGTTTATTGTATGCGTGTGTGTAGTGTTGAGTTTGTGTTTGTTGTGTGTGTGTGTGTGTGAAGTAGTCAGGATGCCTGCAGTGTTCCTGAGGCTCAGTCTCTGTCATCGGCTCTGCTTTAGAAGCATCACAGCAGACGAGAGACCCAGTGGACTCACTCAAGCTCACTCCTTCTGTCTAATGATGATCAGGGAACCGTTCTCAGAACTCTAGCTCACGTTCTGACAAGGAAATGTTCTTCTAGTAATATCAATTGAACATTTGTTCAAAGTTATCTGGTCTTTAATAATGTTCTCAAAACATCAGCACAAAAACATTATTTATACATCATTCATGGAGTGTTTTTACCTGAAACGTTTTAGTTGGAGTTTGTCTAACGTTTTTTAAATGTTGCTACTTATTTCAGAACGTTCAGAGAACATTTAAAAATAACATTCCCATAATGCTTGAAGATTGATACAGTGGAGTGTTCCCTTAGCGTTTACATAACCAAGAAAAAACATTTTTAAACATTTAATAAACTAGATGTGTTGTGAGTTGGGTTATGTGAGTCCGACGGCTCCTCAGGACTCAGGACTCTCTCTGGATGTGTTTCAGTACATCGACGCGGCTCTCCCGCCCGAGTCCCCGTACCTGTACGGCCTGCACCCGAACGCAGAGATCGGGTTCCTCACGCAGACCTCGGAGAAGCTCTTCAGAACCGTGCTGGAGATGCAGCCCAGAGACGGCGGATCCGGAGAGGGGGCGTCCGGCTCGCGCGACGACAAGGTTCTGGACTCAATACTGTATATAACACACACTCACACCTAAAGCTCTTCACACATTATTTAGTGCCATGTGTAAAGAGGAGGAAAATCGAGGATTTACCTCATGATACCGCATTGATGTTTTCACAGCAAAAATAGTTAGGTTTAATTCAGCATAATTGGGACATTTTTTTCCCAGTCATCTCAATGGAAAAAGTGTTAATGTACCTTTATTGACCTTACTCAGCTGCTACAGACAACAGCAATCATGCCCCTGTGTCCAGAATGAGGACGAGCACATCTCTGCCTAGTTCAGCTGCAGTCCAACCAAACATTACTCAGACACCGGATATCAGTTTTGATTTTTTTTTTCACTAGTGTGTGCAGGACACTATAGTTCATTTATGTAAGTGAGGAGAGCAAAATAAAGTAAACTGTGACATATTATACCCAAACATTCATACAGTGACTACCAGTAACATTAATACAAATTTGGGACCAAAAATGATTCGGACACTTTGAGCTTTAATTGCTAATGCTCTTTTTACACACAGACTGAACAACATGAAGCATTGCTTGGTCACTGGTTGAGCTAAACTGGTATTATCTAATTGTGTAGTTACATTTAACAGCTGACAGATATTCAACATAATTCATGTGTGAGAGTCTAACAGAAGGACGGACAAAACCAGTCAAATATCCACTGATCTGAGAACTCTGAGTTCTGCTCATATTTATCACCATTGTCTAAACTATAGCGAATAAACTGTGATAATGTGAGAAATGTTGGAGTCTGAATACATTTAGGTTTGACTGTATGTGAGTACACTTAACCTCATTAAACTCCCAGTGAGGGTGAGTCTGAGACGGACACTGAAGGCCCTCACACTGAAGGCCCTCGAGTCTGAGAGGGGGAGCCGCTGGTTCCGAGGCCTCTGACATTTAAACCATTAGATATGAGAGCGTGTAAGAGGGCTGGAATGCATTATGACAGCTGACCTTTTTAAGTTAAGAGATTGGGATTTGTAAGCAATGACTGCTTTGCATTAACTCCTCATGTATCTGACAAAGACTAATAGATCTACTGAGAGGAATGTGATTAAATGGCCCCGCTTCTCATCCACATGCTGTGCCTGGAATCACTCGCCCACTCCTTCTGGCGCTGATGGAAACAGCTTCATCACATGCATACGCTTTCTTATATATGCCTTACTTTGAAAATCAATTCCTTAAAGTCTTTGTGCACATCCTACTTTGTTAGCTTGTCATGTTTAAATGTTTAATGTTTAATGATGATTATTATTATTATTAATTAGTAAATGGAAACCCTCCCATCCAAACTGTGTTTGTGTGCTCATCCGTCCCTAAAGCAGTGACAGCGTCATCAATTACATTATTAGATTAATCCATTTCCTGCAGTGATTGAATATTTGAATTATCCTCCAAATGATCATTTCCTCTGTGTATGGTGTTCTGATTTACCAATAATCATACCTCAGGAAATTATCAGTCAAGGAAGATGAAGCGCTTGGCTTTAAGCCGAGCTAATGGAAAAATGACCAAAATGACTGATTAACATTCTGTATCATTTTTGTCCTGTTATATTTTAATTGATGAATGACTTAACAAAAAAATTAAAGACTTTTGCCACGGAGATATAAATATGTATTTCTGACTTCATGTGGCGTGTTTGTGTGTCCAGGTTAAAGCCGTGCTTGATGAGATTCTGGAGAAGCTTCCGGAAGAGTTCAACATGACTGAGATGATGGGGAAGGTGGAGGAGAGAACGCCGTATATCGTCGTGGCAGTCCAGGAGTGCGAGCGCATGAACGTCCTCACACAAGAGATCAAACGCTCTCTGAAGGAGCTCAGTCTGGGCCTGAAGGTTAGACACACACACACACACACACACATTCTTGTACTTTGTGAGGTCCCTCATTGACACAATGCAATCTCTAGCCCCTTACCCTAACCCTACCCATCTCCACTAACTGCCTGACCCAACCCTAAACCGACCCTTGACCTCATTATAACCTGATCCCTAAAACCAGGGGTAAGTTGCATAAACTGGAAAGACTAGTTTTACAAGTTAGTCATCCAATTTTTTTCTTCAAGACTGTTCATAACTTTTTTAAGTTAGTTACATAAAAACGTACATTGGTCTAATTTGATACCAAACAGTAAGACTGATTACCCCTAACTAACTGCTAGTTGGTCAAACTAGTTCTTAAGACACTGTTTTAACATGATGGCTATGTTTATGCAACTGGCCCCAGGTCTAGATCTCAAACAGGCCTTTAAAGGCTCTCAGAAAGTGAAGACCGGCCAAATCCTCACTTTACTCTCTTAGTTCTCACTCCGATGGTCTAAAACTCAAACTAGTCCTCACAAAGATAGCTGTACAAGTACACACACTCACACACACTCTCTCTCTCACACACACACACACACACACACACGCGCGTGCACACACACACACACACACACACAGCTGTGTTTTTGTGATATATGAGGACATTCCATAGGCGTAATGACTTTTATACTGGACAAACTGTATATTCTATCCCCCTACACTGCCCCTATCCCTAAACCTGCCCATCACAGGAGACATGCTGCATTTTTACATTTTTAATAAAACACTGCTTAGTGTGTTTTTAAAGCCATTTGAAATATGAGGACTCAGGAAATGTCCTCATTTTTCCGAGTGTCCTCATATTGAAGGTGTGTTATCATAAAAATGTCCTCAGTTGTCATGAAAACAAGAGCACACTCTCTCACACACACGCACACGCACACACGCACATGCACACACGCACATGCACACACACACACACACACACACACACACACACACACACACACCTGTAATACTCTGAAACCTTTTCTCTGCTGCTTTACGGATCTCATCGCCACATCTAATGCTGATCTGGTGTCTGAATGATTTGTATGCCGTATTGCTGAAGTGTGATGTGGCGTCGGTGTGTGCTCTCTCCGCACCGCACCTCTGTGCTCGGGAACAGGAGGATTTTCCTTTCTGTGTCGAGCCTGTACAGAATCACCTTCTCAAATCACTGAAGTCCTTTACTAACAAGACAAAACATTCAAGTTATCGAAATTATGCACATTCCTTGACACATTGCATTGTGGGAAATATTATAATGTTAAAAACTAAAGAATGAAATGATGCTTGGAAGAGACGGCAATCTGACAGTGATATTTTTAGATGAGAGAATAAACACATTTTACATTTGCTTCATGTGTCTTTATATTCAGCTGTGACTTTTTCATTAAAGACAATAATGTCATATTCTCGGATGGAGAGTTTTTAGCCTGATTTCGTCATGAAGAAACACATTTGAATTCTTGAAAATTAAAAATGTAACACTTTAAAACCAAGCAGCAAAATCGTCTCAAAGGCGTCGTCTGTTTGTTGGCATTAACACTGAATCTCTGCGATGACGCCCATCGAGTGATGAGAACAGCACCCGTCATCAGAGCTCCAGGAGTAACAGTGTTAGATGACCTCATTAATCGTGTTCTTCAGGTGAGCACTGTACAGGCTGGCATCGGTTTAATGAGCAGAATGCTGTTATCAACATAAACACTTGATTATCTCTGGAAGGCGACGTCGTGATGATTTGTTTACCTGGAAATAATCAGTTCATTTGTTATTTAGGATTTCTTTTTAACATGTAAATTGAGCTGCACCTTGGTCCCGGTTTCAGGGTTGGCGTTCTCGAGTTGTCGTGCGAGTGGGCGGCCGGAGCGCGTTAAGGGTTTCTGTTAGAGCGGTGTCGTGTTAGCGGCCACTAAGTTAATAACTAATGATCTTTGCAACGGAAGTGAATCAATCAAAACTAACTTTAGCTGGACAATAACTTTATTCTAGAGCTGCTGTAAAGCCTAAACACTCTCTGTTACTGTAATCTCCTGTTATCACTGTAAAGCTGCCGTGAAACTCTATATTGTTAAAGCGCTGTATAAAGGAAGGCGACTCGACTGATCACTGTTGACGTGTTCCTCTCACAGGGCGAGCTCACGATGACCAACGACATGGAGAACCTCCAGAACGCGGTGTACCTGGACCAGGTGCCGGACTCCTGGACCAAGCGAGCGTACCCGTCCATGTGTGGCCTGGGCATCTGGTTCGTGGACCTGCTGACCCGCATCCGCGAGCTGGAGACCTGGACCTCGGACTTCAGCCTGCCGGCGGTGGTGTGGCTCGCCGGCTTCTTCAACCCGCAGTCCTTCCTCACGGCCATCATGCAGTCCATGGCCCGGCGCAACGAGTGGCCGCTGGACCGCATGAGCCTGCAGTGCGACGTGACCAAGAAGAGCCGAGAGGAGTTCAGCACGCCGCCCCGAGAGGGAGCCTACATCCACGGGCTCTTCATGGAGGGAGCGCGCTGGGAGCCGCAGGTACTGGGTCTGGGTCTGGGTCTGGGTCAGGGTCTGGGTCAGGGTCAGGTACCGTCTCTGGGTCAGGGTCTGGGTCAGGGTCAGGTACCGTCTCTGGGTCAGGGTCAGGTACCGTCTCTGGGTCAGGGTCAGGTACCGTCTCTGGGTCAGGGTCAGGTACCGTCTCTGGGTCAGGGTCTGGGTCAGGGTCAGGTACCGTCTCTGGGTCAGGGTCAGGTACCGTCTCTGGGTCAGGGTCTGGGTCAGGGTCAGGTACCGTCTCTGGGTCAGGGTCTGGGTCAGGGTCAGGTACCGTCTCTGGGTCAGGGTCAGGTACCGGCTCTGGGTCAGGGTCAGGTACCGTCTCTGGGTCTGGGTCAGGGTTAGGTACCGTCTCTGGGTCAGGGTCAGGGTCTGGGTCAGGTACTGTCTCTGGGTCAGGGTCAGGGTCTGGGTCAGGGTCAGGTACCGTCTCTGGGTCAGGGTCTGGGTCAGGGTCAGGTACCGTCTCTGGGTCAGGGTCAGGTACCGTCTCTGGGTCAGGGTCAGGTACCGTCTCTGGGTCAGGGTCAGGTACCGTCTCTGGGTCAGGGTCAGGTACCGTCTCTGGGTCAGGGTCTGGGTCAGGGTCAGGTACCGTCTCTGGGTCAGGGTCTGGGTCAGGGTCAGGTACCGTCTCTGGGTCAGGGTCTGGGTCAGGGTCAGGTACCGTGTCTGGGTCAGGGTCTGGGTCAGGGTCAGGTACCGTCTCTGGGTCAGGGTCAGGTACCGTCTCTGGGTCTGGGTCAGGGTTAGGTACCGTCTCTGGGTCAGGGTCAGGGTCTGGGTCAGGTACTGTCTCTGGGTCAGGGTCTGGGTCAGGGTCAGGTACCGTCTCTGGGTCAGGGTCTGGGTCAGGGTCAGGTACTGTCTCTGGGTCAGGGTTAGGTACCATCTCTGGGTCAGGGTCAGGGTCAGGTACTGTCTCTGGGTCAGGGTCAGGTACTGTCTCTGGGTCAGGGTCAGGTACCGTCTCTGGGTCAGGATAAGGTACCGTCTCTGGGTCAGGGTCTGGGTCAGGGTCAGGTACTGTCTCTGGGTCAGGGTTAGGTACCGTCTCTGGGTCAGGGTCAGGTACCGTCTCTGGGTCAGGATCAGGTACTGTCTCTGGGTCAGGGTCTGGGTCAGGGTCTGGGTCAGGGTCAGGTACTGTCTCTGGGTCAGGGTCAGGTACTGTCTCTGGGTCAGGGTCAGGTACCGTCTCTGGGTCAGGGTCAGGTACTGTCTCTGGGTCAGGGTCAGGTACTGTCTCTGGGTCAGGGTCAGGTACTGTCTCTGGGTCAGGGTTAGGTACCGTCTCTGGGTCAGGGTCAGGTACTGTCTCTGGGTCAGGGTCAGGTACTGTCTCTGGGTCAGGGTCAGGTACTGTCTCTGGGTCAGGGTCAGGTACCGTCTCTGGGTCTGGGTCAGGGTCAGGTACTGTCTCTGGGTCAGGGTCAGGTACCGTCTCTGGGTCAGAGTCAGGGTCAGGTACCGTCTCTGGGTCAGAGTCAGGGTCAGGTACCGTCTCTGGGTCAGGGTCAGGTACTGTCTCTGGGTCAGGGTCAGGTACCGTCTCTGGGTCTGGGTCAGGGTCAGGTACTGTCTCTGGGTCAGGGTCAGGTACCGTCTCTGGGTCAGGTACTGTCTCTGGGTCAGGGTTAGGTACCGTCTCTGGGTCAGGGTCAGGTACCGTCTCTGGGTCAGGGTCAGGTACTGTCTCTGGGTCTGGGTCAGGGTCAGGTACTGTCTCTGGGTCAGGGTCAGGTACCGTCTCTGGGTCTGGGTCAGAGTCAGGTACCGTCTCTGGGTCAGGGTCAGGTACTGGGTCTGGGTCAGGGTCAGGTACCGTCTCTTGGTCAGGGTCAGGGTCAGGTACCGTCTCTGGGTCAGGGTCAGGGTCAGGTACCGTCTCAGGGTCAAGGTCAGGTACCGTCTCTGGGTCAGGGTCAGGTACAGTCTCTGGGTCAGGTACCGTCTCTGGGTCAGGGTCAGGGTCAGGTACCGTCTCTGGGTCAGGTACTGTCTCTGGGTCAGGGTCAGGTACAGTCTCTGGGTCAGGTACTGTCTCTGGGTCAGGGTCAGGTACCGTCTCTGGGTCAGGGTCAGGGTCAGGTACTGTCTCTGGGTTCAGGGTCAGGGTCAGGTACCGTCTCTGGGTCAGGGTTTGGGTCATCCTCGCTGGGCTCTGTGTTCTAGATCTAAGTGTTAATTGTAAAATGAGAGAGTGATAAAGCTATATATGTGCTTATAACCGGGATATTCATATCGCCCCCTTAATATACAGTAGTGTGTGATTCAGATATACACACAAACACATTTGTAATTTTGAAAATGCTTTTAATGCAAAAAAAAATTAATGGAAGCTTATGGGTAGCAATATTCAATTTGAAATGTAATATGCAAAATGACAATGCATTTCTGTATTTAAATTTACATTTTCCATATTATATGTGCAACGTTTGGAGCAAAATGATAATTTAAATTCAATAATATAATTTACATTTCCTAGATTAAAATATATCTTAAAATGATCTGTTGCAAAGTTGCAAAATGAAAATGTATTACAGAACCGATTAGATGTGTGTAACATGTTCAAGCAGAACGCAGATGAGAAGATAGCACACTTAAGCACTTATGAGTATATTAATGCATTTGTAAGATTTACTGGCTTAAGTTCACATTGACTGCATTGCTATGAGAAATGAAACGGGAGTTTTAAAGACAGAAGAACGAGACGCAGCAGTTCCTGAACTCACGAAGACCAACGTTCAGCTCGTTAGATGAGCGTCAGCATGTAGTGCACACTTGAGGCCTTAACGACAGACGCTGGTGTTAATGAGTGCTGTTCGTTAATGTACCTGTTGATTTGGTTAAGGAGTTGATTGAGCTGGTTTCTGAGATCTCTACAGTTCAACACTCCCACAAACACACGGACCCGCACGAGCAGCGCATCTGCACCATTAGCGCTCTAATGAATGTGACGGCATGCGGCTTTCTGGGAATCTCTGTGAAAGCCTGTTTTAATTACGCACAGGGAGATTTTAATCACTGTTTTACGCCGCACATCTTCCATGAACTCAAACAGAGGTTCGGGATGTGTTCCAGCATACGTGATGCAGGATAAAGCGTTAAACACAGAGGCATACTCACTCTTCTCCTATATTTATCCCGGCCCAGATCTGCTCTCCGCCGACCAGCGAGTGTGATCCACTTGAAGAGTCGAGACGTCAGCGTGGCGTTTCAGGCCCGTAACTAAAGACACTCACCCTACAGTGGAGCTGTGCGAGGACGAGCTTCAGGGACTGTGTTCATCCACACTCGTTAAACTATCACTGTTCAAAAGCACCATAAACTTCATCATAACCGCGTCCTCCATAGAGGCTGCAATGTCAACATTATTTGCATTCGTCTCTCTAATACTCTGCGATCTTTAACTCTGTGAAGTTCTCCGTCTTCAGAGAGATTGCAGAGAACACAGCTCAGAGAACAGAGAACACCGCTCAGAGAACAGAGAACACCGCTCAGAGAACAGAGAACACCGTTTAGAGAACACCGCTCAGAGAACAGAGAAAACCGCTCAGAGAACACCGCTCAGAGAACAGAGAACACCGCTCAGAGAACAGAGAACACCGCTCAGAGAACACCGCTCAGAGAACAGAGAACACCGCTCAGAGAACACCGCTCAGAGAACAGAGAACACCGCTCAGAGAACAGAGAACACCGCTCAGAGAACACCGCTCAGAGAACAGAGAACACCGCTCAGAGAACACCGCTCAGAGAACAGAGAACACCGCTCAGAGAACACCGCTCAGAGTACACCGCTCAGAGAACACCGCTCAGAGAACAGAGAACACCGCTCAGAAAACACCACTCAGAGAACAGAGAACACCGCTTAGAGAACAGAGAACACCGCTCAGAGAACAGAGAACACCGCTCAGAGAACACCGCTCAGAGAACAGAGAACACCGCTCAGAGAACAGAGAACACCGCTCAGAGAACACCGCTCAGAGAACACCGCTCAGAGAACACCGCTCAGAGAACACCGCTCAGAGAACACCGCTCAGAGAACACCGCTCAGAGAACAGAGAACACCGCTCAGAGAACAGAGAACACCGCTCAGAGAACAGAGAACACCGCTCAGAGAACAGAGAACACCGCTCAGAGAACACCGCTCAGAGAACAGAGAACACCGCTCAGAGAACAGAGAACACCGCTCAGAGAACAAAGAACACCGCTCAGAGAACACCGCTTAGAGAACACCGCTCAGAGAACAGAGAACACCGCTTAGAGAACATCGCTCAGAGAACAGAGAACACCGCTCAGAGAACACCGCTTAGAGAACACCGCTCAGAGAACAGAGAACACCGCTTAGAGAACACCGCTCAGAGAACAGAGAACACCGCTCAGAACACCGCTCAGAGAACACCGCTCAGAGAACACCGCTCAGAGAACACCGCTCAGAGAACACCGCTCAGAGAACAGAGAACACCGCTCAGAGAACAGAGAACACCGCTCAGAGAACACCGCTCAGAGAACAGAGAACACCGCTCAGAGAACACCGCTCAGAGAACAGAGAACACCGCTCAGAGAACACCGCTCAGAGAACACCGCTCAGAGAACACCGCTCAGAGAACACCGCTCAGAGAACACCGCTCAGAGAACAGAGAACACCGCTCAGAGAACAGAGAACACCGCTCAGAGAACAGAGAACACCGCTCAGAGAACACCACTCAGAGAGCACCGCTTAGAGAACACCGCTTAGAGAACAGAGAACACCGCTTAGAGAACACCGCTCAGAGAACAGAGAACACCGCTCAGAGAACACAGCTCAGAGAACAGAGAGCACCGCTTAGAGAACACCGCTCAGAGAACACCGCTCAGAGAACAGAGAACACCGCTCAGAGAACACCGCTCAGAGAACAGAGAACACCGCTCAGAGAACACAGCTCAGAGAACAGAGAGCACCGCTTAGAGAACACCGCTCAGAGAACACCGCTCAG